ACAAGCTCCAGGAAGGCTATGGGGGACGTAGCCTTTTATTGTATTACTTTTCAGGAGGTTGTCCTACGGCAGTGGTTCTCGACCTTTCTAGGGCCGGGACCCCTTGGTAACAATTGCCAAGTTGTGTTGACCCCCAAAGGTAAAATTTAGGGATGACGTGGCTGCCGCAGCGACATCTGGCGGCGTGGCGGGAAAACTGACACTGCTGCGCTGGGAGAGGGCTGAGGAGGACTCTCACCTAGCACAGCAGAAATCACACAGCGACAAACAGGTTGAGAACCACTGGCGTACGCCGTCAGAATAATTAGATTAGATTCCTATTGGCTATTTCACTTTGCAATAGCCAATAGCAAACTAGCTATTGCACCCGCCCTCTACTGCGGTCAATCACTAGAAGAGGACCTGATGGAGAATTTCAGGTCCCCCTCTGCTGATTGACAGCAGCAGTGGGCGCGTGCAATAGCTAGTTTGCTATTGCAAAGTGAAATAGCCAATAGGAATCTAGCTATGCATTTCTATGGTGGGTTTTTTTTTCTGACTTACAGCGGCCGGTGGCCCCTGATGTAAAAAAAGAAACGATCGCAGGGAAAGGTTTACTCTGCTCGATCGAGCAGAGTAAACCTTTCCGGGAGAAAGTGTTTCTCTCCCGGGTTTCCCCAATCTATTAGTGGGAGACTCCCGGGCGACCCCTGGCAAATCGTCATTCGACCGCTGACGGGGTCGCGACCCACAGGTTGAGAACCGCTGTCCTAGGGGTTGTGGGGATGGAGCCAGACCATAGTAGGCTGACATGATGAGCCACCAGGAAAGGAAAATGATGTAAGTATGGATAACAATTTTCTATATTATTCATTTGCGATGTGCCTCTGAAAATCTGACTAGTCAATTCCCTAACACAGCTCTTCCCTCTTGCCATGTCACAGGCAGGGGCGGACTGGGCCGGGGGGCAGGGTGGCAATTGCCCCCCGGGCCTCTCTAATGCCTTTAGAAACGGCCCCCGCCGGCGCCGCCGCAGCGGTAATCACTATTTTTTATCTTTCCGCTCTCGGCCGTTCTGCTGCAGCGTCCGAAAGTGGAGAGATAAAATAATTGATTGCCCCTGCAGCGGCGCCTGCGGGGGCCGTTTTTACAGGAGGAGACAAATTCTTTCTTTGATGCCCGTGTACCGATCAATCTCCTCGGCGGCCACGGACGGCAGCTCCCTCCTCTTTCAGCTGCTATAGGCTGGCCTGGGAGGGAGACTGCACACGATTGGCCGGCAGCATAGTTATGCTGCGCGGGACCAAAAGACACAGTGAGCACTGCAGGAGACACCATGAGACGGCTGAAGGCATCGCCTCAGGACATGCAGGCAACTTTACTGCTTTCCCCCCTCCCCCCACAACAAGGAGAGGAAGAGAAGAGGGCACATTACCTGAAGAAGGAAAGACAAGTACAACTGTAAGTACCTGTTCTTTCTGCGTGACCTCTGCACTGCATACATTACTAACCGCTGACCTCTACATTCCCCCGCTGGCCTCTGCACTGCGTACATACTGACCGCTGACCTCTACATCCCCCCGCTGACCTCTGCACTACATTACATACTGATCTCTGACCCCTACATTACACCGCTGGCCTCTGCACTGCGTACTTTCAAACCTCTACATTACACCTCTGCACTGCGTACATACTGACCTCTGACCTCTATATTACACTGCTGGCCTCTGCACTGCATACATACTGACCGCTGACCTCTACAATACACTGCTGACGTCTGGGCTGCATTACATACTGATCTCTGACCCCTACATTACACCGCTGGCCTCTGCACTGGTACTTTCTAACCTCTACATTACACCACTGCCCTCTGCACTGAGTACATACTGACTGCTGATCTCTACATTACACCGGTGGCCTCTGCACTGCAAACATACTGACCTCTACATTCCCCCGCTGGCCTCTGCACTGCGTACTTTCTAACCTCTACATTACACCGCTGCCCTCTGCACTGCGTACATACTGACCGCTGTCCTCTACATTACACAGGTGGCCTCGGCACTGCATACATACTGACCGCTGACCTCTACATTACACTGCTGAGGTCTGGGCTGCATTACATACTGATCTCTGCCCCCTACATTACACCGCTGGCCTCTGCACTGCGTACATTCTGACCGCTGACCTCTACATTACACTGGTGGCCTCTGCACTGCATACATACTGACCACTGACCTCTACATTACACTGCTGAGGTCTGGGCTGCATTACATACTGATCTCTGACCTCTACATTACACCGCTGGCCTCTGCACTGCGTACTTTCTAACCTCTACATTACACCGCTGCCCTCTGCACTGCGTACATTCTGACCGCTGACCTCTACATTACACAGGTGGCCTCGGCACTGCATACATACTGACCTCTACATTCCCCCGCTCACCTCTGCACTGCATTACATACTAATCTCTGACCCCTACATTACACCGCTGGCCTCTGCACTGCGTACTTTCTAACCTCTACATTACACCTCTGCACTGCGTACATACTGACCTCTGACCTCTACATTACACTGCTGGTCTCTGCACTGCATCCATACTGATCTCTGACCTCTACATTACACCACTGGCCTCTGCACTGCGTACATTCTGACCTCTACATTACACCGCTGGCCTCTGCACTGCGTACATACTGACCTCTGACCTCTATATTACGCTGCTGGCCTCAGCACTGCATACATACTGACCGCTGACCTCTACATTACACTGCTGGTCTCTGCACTGCATACATACTGACCGCTGACCTCTACATTACACTGCTGGTCTCTGCACTGCATACATACTAACTGCTGACCTCTACATTCCTCCGCTGGCCTCTGCGCTGCATTACATACTGGTCTCTGACCTCTACATTACACTGCTGGCCTCTGCACTGCATACATTCTGACCTCTACATTACACAGCTGACTCCTGCACTGTGTACATACTGACCTCTACATTAGACTGCTGACATCTGCGCTGTGTTACATACTGACCTCTGCACTGTTACATACTGACCTCTACATTACACCACTGATCTCTGCACTACAGTACATTACACACTGAACTCCACATTACACCGCTGGCCTCTGCACTGCATACATAGTGAACTCTGACCTTCACATTACACCGCTGTCCTCTGCACTGCGTACATTCTGACCTCTACATTACACCGCTGGCCTCTGCACTGCGTACATTCTGACCTCTATATTACACTGCTGGCCTCTGCACTGCATACATACTGACCGCTGACCTCTACATTACACCGCTGACCTCTACATTACATTGCTGACATCTGCGCTGCGTTACATATTGGCCTCTACATAACACCGCTGACATCTGCGCTGCATTACATACTGACCCTCTACATTACACCGCTGACATCTGCGCTGCGTTACATACTGACCTCTACATTACACTGCTGACCTCTGCACCACGTACATACTGACCTCTACATTGCACCGCTGATATCTGCGCTGCGTTACATACTGACCTCTACATTACACCGCTGATATCTGCGCTGCGTATACCGCACTGACGAGGTATCTTTCTGCTACTGGTGTGCTATAATTTTCCTGATTTCCTGAACAGCTGATTTGAATGACACAGCCTCACCGTAAGTGACTCGGTCGAGAAAATGTATGGGGTTGTGAAAAATTATAGAACACTGACTTTGACACGGTCTGGCTCCTCCCACTATCCTCCCAACAGCTCACAGCCTAGAAGTCCGGTGGCCCACAGTGGGTGAGAGTGCCTAAGTAGCGGACATGAAGCGGAGTTAGGCCAGAACCATTTAGGGAGCCCAGCCAGTCACCCCTTTCATGGACTTCCTACTGAGTCCTCACATCACCCGACCAATCACACTACTGTTACATGGATGGCAAAAGTGGCAAGTGGGGGCAGGGGAAGAGGCAAAGTGGGAAGTGGGCCAAGTCGCTGCACCATGGGCCTCTGTGTTGTACTTGCCCCCTGGGCTAAAAGTTGCCAGTCAGCCCCTGGTCACAGGACTCTTGTCAACTGTCTAATTACTCTCTGTGCTGACCCAACTCCCTCATTTTCCTACATAGACTTTATGTACCAGTTGAGGGAGGAGTAAGTGGAATACTACAGTGTAACACTAAGTAGACATTTTATCCAGTATGGCAGTACCCAGCCGAAGTCCCAGGCTTTTTATGTCTTCATAAGGGAGACTTTTACAAGTAAATTACATGCCTATATATGTTGATTCCAAATATATTTTTATGGGAAGATTGCTGTTGAAATGAATGATCTGGCAATGGAGTCTCTTTAAGGAAACCACTTTTATAATGGTGTTCTAATCCTGAGTAGAATTTGCAATTTTCCATTTTATAGATTTTTTTGTCAAACAGTCTTAAATCTAGAAGCAGCAAACTATTGAAAGACAAAGCTTAACCCTGAGATAGGTCAATCAAAAAAAGAAGGAGGGGGAAAGCGTCACGTATGTATACAGGTGACATAATGAAAAAATCATTGAATTTTAAAAAAACATATACATTAGCTTTTTCATTTTATTTAATATAACACTATACCTTTTATAAACCCTATTGGTCTCCTGATGTGCACTTAAAACTATGCTTTGGAATCACTGTCTTTAGTACTATAGCAATCTACAGTAGTTATAGTGTAACCCAACGACGTCATGTCACATTCTGAGGAGGGATTTTTTTAACCTGTTTTCCTCCTTTTCTTTCCGCCCTTTGTGTGACAGGTCAACAACTCGTTCACCTGCAGTGAAAACTGATACTGGCTTGTATACACTCTTTGGCATTGCACATAAATTGGCAAGGTGCCTGCAGCAAAATCCTTTTTACGTACTCACTCGCAAGGTGCTTGAAGGCTGCCAGAAGGTGTTGCTAACTACATTCTCTCCAGGAAGTAACTTAACATTGCATTTGTGCAGCGAGGGAGGTACCAGGAAGAAAAAAAAACAGTTTTCACCAGGAAGTAAACTGAACAGATATTCCAGCTTTCAGATTTACCTAGATACAACAAGGTGTCTTCATCATTCAGTGATAACTTTAAGAACAGTGCGGACCTATTTAGGACTTCAGTTGCCCCGTTAAGTATTACATCTCTTTCTGTGAAGAATTTGTTTTTGTCGCTAACTTTATTTTAACCTTACAAAAGCACATATGCCACCCATTGCTTGCAATGATTTTTTTCACGGGACCTAGGATATTTCTGATAATTCACAGCAGCGATGTGTTTTCATAATATGCAGCTACAGCCGTAGAGTGCAAGAAAAATTTGTTCACTCACCTGGGCTTGGAATTAAGGATCTGACTCTTGAATCTTCCTGAGTATGGCAAACTTTTGCCGGAAATATTTCAGCTGTTGCTTGCCTTGTATCTTAAAGGAAAAGGAAGACAATTACAAACCAGATCAAAGCACTGTTTTAAATAATATACATACTGTCGATTCCAATGATAGACGTATATCTGCCGGCATTCCGAGTGGAATTGCAACTGTAATGATACACCCACAAATCAACAAAGAATTATATGTGGCTTTATATGACTACAAGGCTGGCACAAATGAGGAGTTAAGCTTTAATCTTGGGGACCAATTGCAGATTTTGGACTTTACACATGAAAGCTGGTGGAGAGCTAGGGCCTTGATTCCTCGTGGAAAAACAGAGGGATACATCCCAGCCAACTATGTTGCTCCTGTCTCCAGCATTGAAGCCAAACCGTAAGTCTGTTATTTTATCACTGCACAGATCTGATTAGTTATTAGCTTACTGATATACTTTGTTAAATCATAAGGCATAAATGCAAAGGGGCAGTTCAGCAATTCAAGTGGAATCTGTCGTTCTTTATTAAATTGTGTATAGATACTAGATGTGACATATAGGTGTCCTAATTGGTGCAGACTGGATTCAGCCTTTTTTTTTGCTCAATACTAGCCATTCAGTGAGAAATTAAATATGTCACCCCTTTATACGGTCTGTGTGGATAATAGAGATAATAGTGGTTTGAAGTGATTTATGCCGTTATGCTAAATACTGGGCACCTAGTGGGAAAATAGGTTTCCCTTCCCCCTTTCGTAATGTTTATGGAAACTAGAGATGATATTAAGGATGATATTTCAGCCGTATATCAGCTGAAATCAGCCGTACATCGGGTGGCTTCGGGTTGGCAGAACATGCTCAGCATGTTCGGCCGACCCGAAGTGCAGAAGGAGTTCGACTCAGCCGATCCAACATTTGGATTGGCTAAGCCGAACCTCCGACAGGCTTCTCGCTCCTGTTTGGTCTATTCTTATAGATGCTGACCCTAAGCGGCATTCGGCTCAGCTGTTCTGCTCGGTCTCTCTGTGGGACCGAGCAGAACAGAAAAATTGTTAAAAAAGTAGAAAAATAAAAATAGAAAACGATTGTGCGGAGCTAGCAATGACAGCTAGCTCCGCCCAACAGTTTTCTATTGGCCGGCGGTTCTGCTACCGTCAAAAAAAAGAAAAAAAATTTGGCCAAACTAATGCATTGCTAGTTTCCTATTGGCTATTTCAATTTGCAATAGCCAATAGCAAACTACCTATTGTACCCGCCCTCTGCTGCTGTCAATCAGTAGTGGGGACCTGATGGAGAACTGCAGCAGAGGGCGGGTGCAATGCTAGTTTGCTATTGGCTATTGCAAATTGAAATAGCCAATAGGAATCTAGCAATGCATTCCTATGGCCAACCATTTTTATTTTATTTTTCTATTCTGACACGGCTCTGTGTCAGAATAAAAAAAAAAAGAAAAAGAAGTGTTTCTCTCCTTCGCGGCCGGGAGCGGGAGACTCCCGGAGCGCCAGGGAGAGTTAGGCTGTCTGGAGATCAGTTTCCCTGGTCAGCTGGTAACCAGGGACGCTGATCTCTCTGCAAGTGGCCGGAGCCAGCCGTAAGATCATGAACGGAAGTTCACGGCTGGCTCCGCCCAGCTGTCAGAAGCAGGCTGTCTCGGCTTATGCCTTCGGCTCGACTGAGACGCTTGGCCAAGTTCAGGAGCTGTACAGGCTATAGTGAATAACCCGTACAGCAGCCCTTCGGTTCCACTGAACCGAAGGGGTCCTGGGGCCGAAGCTAGCCGAAGGATCGGCCGAAGCTACGGCTAGATCCTTCGGCTGCTTCGTGAATAAACTGAGTCTAGACAGCTTACATTACTAGACTTCAGCTTTAATATATGATGTTGAAAAGCTTGTGATAAAAATGCAGTGCTAGGTATTAACAAACTGATATTTTAACAAGATTGTGACATGTTCTCTAATAACCACCAATCACTGCTGGTTGAGGGCTAGGTAACTGGAGATTACTAGGCCTAAGCAACTTAAACAGAAATGTGGATCCTATCAGAGGTGACATGCATGGACTCCCCTGACAAATGGAGTCTATGGAGTGCCCCATCTATGCAATAGGTCTCCATCTTCGTCTGGTGTAATGACAAACTGGTTAAAAGTAGTCCATATTTCATTATGGGGCAGAGTAGTAGCCAGGGTCATCACTATAATGAGGCAGCCTAAGGCGGTTGCCGTTGCCCCAGGCGGCATCACATTGGGGGGCAGAGGGGCAACCACAGTGTACCAGGTTGCTAAGAGCTCTGTGACGCTCTTAGCAACCTGCAGCCAAGTTCTTGGTACCGTCGTAAACAGCCAGCGATCGCTGTTCAGATACAAGCAATGGGGCGGATATACAGCCGCCTGATTGCCTGTACCATGCTGGGGAGTGTGCTCCCACTGCCGCCGCCGGCTGTCCCCCATGCGGGCCCAGAAAGTGGCACAGCGGGTCTCCCCTTATCGATCGTAGGAAGATCAGCAAGCTTCTAGCTGCTGATCTCCCCTCCCATCACTGGACCTGGAAGTGGTATGTATTAGCCAGGAGAAGAGGCTGGCGAAGCAGATTGCTGCTTCATCAGCTTCTCTGGGGTCCCTAGCTGACATTAGGGACCTGACAGACCCCTGATGTCTCTATAAAGAGGACGTGTCACATCATATTTACTATTGCATAGGGGGCTTGTTAGCTCCCTATGTAATAACTTTAAGTGTTAAAAAAATAAAAATAAAGTAATATTTAATATATATATATATTTAAAGTCTCCCACGTACATACAAATGCAAACATGCGTTTACTTGCAAAAACAAAAGTTGCGCCACTCATATGACATATCGCCATGAATGTCAGAGTGAGAGCAATAATTCTAGGCCCATCAATCACTGTTAACACTAAACTGATGAGCAAAAAAAATGTTTAAAGCACCGCCGATGGGGAATTTTGGGTATTGCAGTTTCACGGGCGCACACAATTTTAAGGCTTGACATATTTGGTATCTATTTACCTGACGTGGCCGCGTCTTTATATTTTACACATTATATTCTGTTTCTGTGCACTAAATGTAATTTTTGTGCATTTTATCCTAAAAATACTGGTTTGATGAACATTTGCGCAAACACCGTGCAACATAAATTTTGCCGCTAGCATTTTTTCATTCTATAGGGCCTCTGCTTTCAGAAGAGATATCATTGTTTGGGGCTTTTAAGCTGTTTTCCAGCCAGAAATTCAGATTTTATCATGTGTGCAAATATTAAGAAATTGCTCTGGGCAGCAAGTGGTTAAAAGTAATACTCGGGGCATGCTGCACAGTATGGATGTGACCAGTACATAACTTCTATTACAGAGAAAACCATCCAAATACATCACAAACTTTGGGTGGATTCTCTCGTCCCCTGTCATGACAGATACATTTAGATGGAATCATATGACAAATGCACTTCAAAGGAGATAGAAGTCTGACAACTGCAGGCAAGACAGGTGACAGACAGACAACAGAAGGAATTAGGAAAACACATAAGATCAGGGTCTGGAATGCAGGGAACCCACAAAATTTACCAACAATTCCTGTGGTAAATAAGACTTATTAATCAAGAATTGGACAAACCAGGTGCAGATGAGAGGGTGAAGATAATAAGAAGTCACAGGGATAACTCCAGTTAGCTTCTACCTATCTACTGTTTTTTTATGAAGTGATTTTCAAAATAGACAAATCTAAAATCTCACCTGCGTTCTTGATTATACACAGTTTCTGTTTCTATATGTTATTATGTTAACTTTCTACTGGTATTTATATAATTGTTGTATTCTATCAATTTTCTCTATTCAAAGCTTGTTACAATTTTGTAGCTCTTGTGATTAGCATGTTGCACTTCCAGCACTGGGGTCTTGAAATCAATTTTCCCACGGAACATTTTACATAGACGTCACTGTGTATTCTCACCAAATTTGTGTGACTCTCCCAATGCTCATATTTTATCCTACAACTTAAAAAGATACTTAAAAATGCATCTGGATAAAAGTTTGAAACCTAAAACATACCAAACTCACAAGTTAGACATGCATAAAGTATAACAAATCAGAAAGCTTCTGTAAAATTATATTGTGAATGTTGATTTAAAGACCAGAGCAAATATGGGAGTTATATGAATTTTCAGGGTGTGTATGTATACATATAACACAATTTCCACCAGGCTAGTAGCAATGAGACTTCTAACCACCAATGGTGTAAAAATGAAATGGTAAACATGTCAAATCTGAAGCAAACCTGTGCTTTGCACATTCTGGGCAAAGCTAAAGGTCTTCTTTAATGCAAACCTCCCTACAGATGCTTACACATGCCTTCCCTTGCTACCTCACTGCTCTGTTTCCTGTAGTAGTGAAAAGAAGAAGGTCCATGTATGTTCCAAGTAGTGGATTTGAGTGTACGCAGGTCTAAGAAATCTCTTCTGTCCCCCATGTGATATGCTGGGTGCCAGAGTGGCTACTTGCCATACGAGGCTGTCCCATGGGAGGAATTGAACTCAAATGCTCCACTAACCAGGTACCAGACATGCCATTTTGCATACCAAGTGGTGAAGCAAATTGATTCAGTCAGGCTTTGTTTGATATCTAGGTGTAAAGCATTAACTTTATTCCTTATTTCCACTACTGAGCAAAATGTGTGCAGCCCTGTTGCCATAGGCTGTGACCTTTATAGACTAACAGGAACTCTGATCCCTGTAATTATATCAGCAGTAATACATGGCTCTGAAATGTGTTGTTTAAGACAAGTGGAGGAGAAAATGCTTCAGGTAAATGTTGATGACAATCCGTGGGGAAAATGGACTAAGGAGGATGATAATGAATGTATAAACAGCCAACTTATATGCAGATCCAGACCTTGTAACACAAATAAAGATTAACAGATTGATATGGATAGGCTGATGAACCAAGTAAAGAGAAGAAAGGAGGAGAGAAATGTTGGTGCGAACCATGTTTTGCCAGTGATACCCCCAACCCAAACATTTGTGGTTGTTATGTGCAGGTGTGAATGCCCCAGCTGCTACTGATTGGGCTGGGAGGGAGGTTTTTCCCGGCCAGTTCAATCAATTTGTTGTCCTCATAAAATGATCAGTTTATTCTGCCCAGAGAACCTTAAGATAAAACACGTCTCCGTCCTGCAGGGATTCTGTGGGGGAAATCACGGAGGTGCCTCGTATGGAAGTAAATCCAGCACACTTTGGAAATCCTGATTGTTGCTCATTCAATATAGAGGAGATTGCAGCCAGCTGAGTCTTTCTGTCTGTGGGGTATGCTCCATGGAGTAGATCAGTCTCACACAATGCGGCAGGTATGATTGCTACAATATCTTCTAGTGATATATTTTTTGTGATTTTACAGAATG